CAAAAGAGTGAATTTAAATTTGTCATTCCCACTTTAGTGACAGACATGGCTGAAATCAAACTAAGTATATGGTCCAATGAAGGTACAGGTACCTCATAGATGAAGCCACAACTGTGGTGGGTTTGGAACAAACACTACCAAAGGAGATGAGAGTGTGGTTATAGGGTCACATGCCAAGCCTGAAGTTCATAGCTGTTGTTAGAGCTGCATCATGGGCAGAGACTAAGATCAAAATCCTGTCCAAAAAAATGGAACATATATCCTCAGGACAAATTTTAGTCCATACTAAGGAAAATGTCCACTTTCCCCCCCTCACAGCTCTTTTATTCTTCTTTATTCTTTTCCCAATCATGGGTGGACTTCCTATTTAATTTTTACACTCAAGATTTTAATTCCTATTATATAAAGAGAACTTCATAAAAAATCATATGATTCTGCTTTTATACCATATTCCAATAGGCCTAAGGAGAAACAAATTCTCTTAAAAGATGTAATGAGAGCTAAAATAATATAGTCCTACTATGCGCCTTTGAAAAAATGTTTGAGGCTCTGATATTATTATTCATGGCTTTAGTAAAACATTGTTCATTATTACTCACATTTAGGAAGTATAACCTTTATTACTTCCACTGGAATATTATCTCAGATTCTGCAGCTCAGTGCCTTCATTTAGGATAAAATGTAAAATATTACAGGGCCAATTTGTTACTCTTCGAACATATATGTGTCTTCTTACTCTCATTCCACAGACTGCCATGTGCTTTACCGCTGGCGAAATCCTTTATAATCAACACTATGGAAAGCTGGGCGAGAGTTAAGCTAATTATAATATCTTCAGAATCTCATAACAAGATTTGGAAACCAACTGCCATACGAAGATTGTTTTTATTCACTCTCTCAAAATCAGAAAATTATGATCAATTTGTACAGTGCTAGATGCCAAAGCCATGTGGAGCTTTATAAACCTCAGTCAACAAGAAGTTCTCTTTTTAGTTTATCTTTGATAATGAATGATTTTAATTTCATTAAACATTGTGTGCTGCAAGGACTATCTGTGGGCTGGAATATTAAATTGAGCATATTCAGCTAGTAGATTTTATTATTTAGGCTGGATTTTTCATGTAGAGTACTGGGACTCAAGGCAAGTATCAAGATAAATTTTTAATCCAATCTCCTCACAAAAAAAGCAAATTAATAAAATTTTGCCCTGATTATCTGATTATTTCTTAATTCTCCATTTCACCTCTAAGGACTGGATTTGTGTAGTGAAGTAAAATATTGTATTCTAATCATTTTATTATTTTGTCTTCTCTCCTTATAAAAAGATGATAGTTGTGAGAATGGAAATTATGTCTCTTCTTTTATTTTTAACTTATTTTCCCTAATTGCTAACAGAGTAGTTAGCACATATTAGGCCTGCATAAATATTTAACAATTGAATGAAGTCAGAGTCTAGCCTGAGAAAAAGGAACTTCTTAAAGAATTGCCTCTTTTGGGACGCCTGGGTGGCTCAGTCATTAAGTGTCTGCCTTTGGCTCAGGTCATGATCCCAGGGTCCTGGGATAGAGCCCCGCATCGGGCTCCCTGCTCAGCGGGAAGCCTGCTTCTCCCTCTCCCACTCCCCCTGCTTGTGTTCCCTCTCTCGCTGTGTCTCTCTCTGTCAAATAAATAAATAAAATCTTAAAAAAAAAAGAATTACCTTTTTTCCATCCTTGTCTCTATTATCTTGTAAATTATCTAAGTATTTCTAATAACAAAACCACAATGCCACACTTCAATCACATAGAAAGCTTATATTTCAGTTCTTTTTCTATCAGTAGAACTTCTAGAGGCACACAGTTGAGAAGAAATTAGTTAAATAATTATTGATTTGTTATTGATGATTCTCCCGTCAAATCGATGTGATCACTGTGCTTATTAAATATAGTTCTATATTTTATAGCATGAAGGAAAACCTAACATGTGCAAATTACATTTATTAAGCACTTACTATGTGGTAGAAGTAATATGTGCTTAGCTTACATTATTCTAATTTAACCCTCTCAGCAAACTGATGGCATACATATTACTATTCACATTTGGCAGGATAGAATATTGAGATTTAGAGTTAAGTATCTTGCCCGATATCAGGCAGCTAATAAATAATAGAGCTGTGATTTGTCCTTAGATTGACTTCACCATCCATTCTCTGCCCACTGCACCACACAGCCAAATACTAAAGTGATTGTATGTCAGAGGGCTATCACACTTGTCTCTGAAGCCATCATTGATTTCATTCAACAGTTATTCATGTCATGAATCTAACATATTTTTTAAAATAAATCTGATTTTAAGTGTAAGGAACTCAAGTAAGAAACCTATTGGGTTTTTTTTTGTTATGTTAATCACCATACATTACATCATTAGTTTTTGATGTAGTGTTCCATGATTCATTGTTTGCCTATAACACCCAGTCCATGCAGAATGTGCCCTCTTTAATAGCCATCACCAGGCTAACACATCCCCCCACCCCCCGCCCCTCTAGAACCCTCAGTTTGTTTCTCAGAGTCTATGGTCTCTCATGGTTAGTCTCCCCCTCCAATTTCCCCCCCTTCATTTTTCCCTTCCTACTATCTTCTTCTTTTTTTTTTTTTTTAACATATAATGTATTATTCGTTTCAGAGGCACAGGTCTGTGATTCAACAGTCTTTCACAATTCACAGCGCTCACCATAGCACATACCCTCCCCAATATCAGGCAATGCAGACACAAATCGTTTTCCTTCCTCTCATTCCTGAGAAAACAATTAGTGTCTGCATTGCCTGATATACAGAATGTCAGTTTTACATAGTATTTATGAACCTGCTCAAATCTGTTGAACTTAGCTACTTTTTAAATTTGGAAAGCTTCTTCCTTCAATACATTTTTGGGCTTGCTTGTTTGTTCATTAATACAAATGTCATATAGCTTAAGTTATGACACAAAAATGATTCCATTAGATTATAACCTCAGTGCACACACATACACCCACCCACTTGCCCACCGTCTCTTTATTAATTCACACTGATTTTGAGCTCATATCTAAGCTTGTGAATAGTACATAGGAAATTTTCACATAATTTCTGAAATCTTTGAAAACCATCCCTGTTATCCAACTAGTAAAAACTTCCTTGATATGATTTTAAGAGTATTATGGATTTTTTTAAATATGTTCTTGATCTATCTTATTAAATGAAGAGGTCAGGCTAATTGGAAACAAAGAATGGCTGTATTAAATAATGCATTTAATACCAAAGCATGCAAATATCAATCAACATGTCAACCTCCCTTGTAAAGTTACATGACTTTTCATATTAGCATTTGATTGAGTCCACCAAGGGGAAAATATGACTTAAATATAAAATGAGCTTCTGAATCAGGCTCAGTATAAAAAAAAATACTAAAGAGAATTTTATTTTCAAGATTCCACTGGAAATAAAAAACCATGTTGTTTCTCTGGGTAGCATTAGTTAAGGAAGGAAGGAAGAAAGAAGGATGGAGGGAGGGAGGGAAAGAAGGAAGGAAAGAAAGAAAAGGAAGGAAGGAGGAAAGGAAAGAAAAGGAAGGGAGAGAAGGTAAGGGAGGGAAGGGAAGGGATGGAATGGGAAGAAAGGGAGAGAGAGAAAGAAAAAGAAAGAAAGAAAGAAAGAAAGAAAGATAAAAAGAAAGAAAAAGAAAGAAAGAAAGAAAGAGAAAAAGAAAGAAAGAAAGAAAGAGAAAAAGAAAGAAAGAAAGAAAGAAAGAAAGAAAGAAAGAAAGAAAGAAAGAAAGAAAGAAAGAAAGAAAGAAAAAGAAAGAAAAAATAAATTCCACTAGAGTCCCATTGGCCAAAGTGAGTGACCAACCAAATTGATGAAATCAATATGCAGGTCAAATACTTTTGCATACCAAAGCTATTATAAATTTAATAATGCTTCAATATGGATGCTTCTAATTTTTAAAGGGACACTCCCAATGCAGAGCAAATGGACTAATCATTTCAGCTTTAATAAAAACAAAAGCATAAATCACTTGAATAATCACTTACAGTTCGTGGTAACAAAATGTGACCTATGTTAATGCAACCAACCTCCATCTCTTTCTCTAGATGCTTTCTCACAGTTGTCACTGGCATTACTTACCTTACTCTAGGAGCACAAATATGTTCCACTACTGTAGACCCTATGTCTCCTTCAGAGATTATAAACAAAGACTAGCAATTCAGAGAGAACAATTTCTGTCTTTTCTCAGTAATTCTCCCTTCTAAGTGTAGTGAAACTGACTTCAGTAAAACAAACATAAATCCCCTTGCTCTGTTTCTTTTTTCTTTTTAAAGATGGAAAATAAACCATTTTACAATTCCACTGTCTTTGACTGTATTATAATACTTGATGTAATTAAGAATGTCTTTTGAACAGATTAAAGATACAGAAATGTTAAAATGAAGGAAAGTTCATGCTTTGTTTTGGGGGTTTTTTTAAGATTTTATTTATTTATTTGAGAGAAAGAACATGAGCAGGGCAGAGGGAGAAACAGACTCCCCACTGAGCAGGGATCCCAATGCGGGACTCGATTCCAGGACCCTGGGATCATGACCTGAGCCCAAGGCAGACACTTAACTGACTGAGCCACCTAGGCGCCCCTGAAATCTCATGGTTTTTAAGAGAAATAGTCCTGTTCAATTTTATTTAAGACTTACTTATTGCACCTAAATTTCATGACTGTTGTTTTGAATCTTAAAGTAGTTGCTCTGTTTCATTTTTAAATTAATTTATTGTCTATTATAAACGTTCTGTTGCCACAGTTATACTTTTAATATTTTGTGCCATTGAACACTTGTAGATGGCACAAATATAATAACCAAGATACATAGTATAATCAAAGTATTTAAATAAAAACTAAAACAATTATTTCCACAGGTATTAACTTCCATTTGGTGTATGTAGATGCAGATGTATTAAGATTAATGGAAATTATTAAAAATTACATTCATTTTTTTTCAGATCCCAGAAGTTAGCAGAAATGATGAGCAAGAAAATGACTATGAAGATGATAGTACCTCACTACTTACATATTCTCCCAGTAAGTGTTCCTGGATGTTATGAATATATGTATATATGTAGCATCTGTATTAAGGTACATATAACTGATAGAATAAGACTGAAGAGAGCATAGGAGAGCATGGAAAGGCATTTAATTAACTGAATGACTTTTAATTTATAATATGGGAGAGATGTTACTACATTATCTTGCTAGTTTAAATACTTCTATTAAGGGGCTCCTGGGTGGCTCATTTGTTAAGCATCTGCCTTCGGCTCAGGTCATGATCCCAGGGTCCTGGAATCGAGCCCCGCATCAGGCTCCCTGCTCCGCAGGAAGCCTGCTTCTCCCTCTCCCACTCCCCCTGCTTGTGTTCCCTCTCGCGCTGTCTCTCTCTCTGTCAAAAAATAAATAAAATCTTTAACAAAATACTTCTATTAAGTTCAGTTGTTAAAAAATCAAACACCAGTCTTTCCTACCCAGAGAGAATACACAAGTCAGGTTGATGCAAATATTCTATTTGACAACTCGGGGTTTTTTCATTTTTTTAAAAAACAAAGTCACATTCTTTTCAGACCCTAGTTTTCTCTGCTAGGCAATGAGAAGCTTGGACTACAACTCTCTCTAAGGTCCTTACTGTCTATAATAGGATGTAATTCTATATTCTAATGTCTGAAGACTAATTCAATCTTCTATCCATTATTCCAGATTCCCCTGATATACAATAGCTTGCTCAGCATCTTCACCAACATGCCTGATAGGCATCTCCCACTCACCATTTCCAAATCCAAAAACCCTAATGCCTGACCCTTTCAAACCTACACCACCTGCTGACTTTCCCATCTCAGTAAGCGAAGATTCTCTCCTTGTTTAATTCCATCCAAAAACCTGGGAGTCTCCCTTGGCTTTTTTACTTCCTCTCTCACCCCATATCCAATACAATCAGACAGTACTGTTGACTCTACCTTCATAGCATAGCCAGCATTCAGCTGTTCCTCACTCTTCCACGATTTATCCCAGTCCATCCTGCCGTTAGCTTTCCCCTGGACTATTGCAACAGCACAGTGGTTCTCAACAAGGGACTATTTCCCACTCACAACAGAGGATCCTTGTCAATGAACAGAAGCTTTTTTATTATCATGACTTGAGAAGGGAGGTTTACAACTAGCATTCAGTGGGTGAACACCAGAAATTCTGCTAAATATCTTACAAAGCACAGGACATACCCCACATGACACAGGATTATCCGGTCCAAAATGTCGGCAGTACTACTACTAAGAAACCGGCGTAAGCAGCTTCCACATTTGCCAGCCCTAATACTCTATGCTCCGGAAGGAGCTAGTCATTTTTTCTGTTCCAAATTTCCCAATACCTTCCCATCATACTTATCCTCATCATCATCTAAAAAGCCCTAGATAACCTTCTCGGGTCCCATTTCTGACCACTCTCTTGTTTGTTCACCACACGGTGACATCTCCCATAGCAAGCATTCTCTGCCCACGGGGCATTGCCCTTTTAACACTGAGCAGCTGATATTCAGCTAACCACTAATGACCACTGGTTTCTCAGGTGGTAGGCAAATTGACCTGCAAATCAAATACAACTAAATACAATGTCTATCAGTATTGATAGATCAGTAAACACCTTCAAAAGTTATGGCATAACACAAAATAATGCTAAATATTAATGAATTAATGCACTGATTTTTAAAGTTACACATTTTATTTTTGTTTTTAGTAATAATAAAACTGATAGTGACCATTTATTTATTATGATTTAATCCTCAGAAGAACTGCCTATAAAGAGAAAAATGTTATTTCCATTATTTATTGAGAACAACCTCATTTCCACAGATCGTTAGGACCTGGAATTGTCCTGTGTTTGAAATTCTGTGTGACTGGACTCAGGCCTCAAGTTCCTTAATGAGATAGGGGGTGAAGCATAGCACACCTTAGTTGGCAGATATCCATTGGTATTGCCATCGCTATGAAGCTTGCTAAAACTCACTGACCCGCTACATCCAACTCTCCAGGGCTGGATTCCAGGTTTGGACATTTTTGACAAGGACCAAGGAGGCTCTGTGGCTTAGAAAAGTGCCTACATAAGACGTGAACACTGAATACATAAACATAAAGCAGCTACAAGTAATTTCCTATAGCATGAGTGTAATTCTAAGTTGATGATCGATTTGCCCAGACAGAAAGAGTGAAGTTCCTTTGCTAGCCTGAGCCATAATTCCTTTTCAGTGACTGCATCATTGACTCCATCAACATTTCTAGAGACTACTTTATTTCAGGCCCAGTGCTTGGAGTGAGAGGAAGAAAGATGAATGAGAATTGTGCAAGAGATCTCCTTCTGTTGGCTGCTCTGCTTAGGCTGTTAATTAAAGAATCTTGGTCTGCAGTTCTAGTACTGAAATTACATCTTTCTTTCTCACATGAAAGGAAAGAACAGTAAAAAATAAAATTCCGTGTAGAAATATGAGTACCATCATGGCACGATTTTTCCTCATCACTAATTTTCTCCCATAACTGAAAAGTTTCTACAAAGTAACTGTGCGTTGTTTAAAAAAAAAAAAAAAAAAAAAGTCCTTTTTCTCCATACTCTGCCAATTGGCTTCTTTAGCCAAATCTCAGCTTAGCAACACTTTAAAACAACAATCTTCTGCTTGTTTATTGCACTGACAATGACAACAATTCACATAGTCCCTCCAATTTAGAGATTCCAAGTTTGTTTTAAAATTTTGTGAATCCTTTATTTAAAGCAGAATTTTTATAAAGAAAATTTAAACAAAAAATTTTAAGACTTAAAGTTATTGCATTATAATATCTTTTTTCAATTCTTCCCGAGTGGCTAGAGGGTATCTGTTATGTACACTATAAAAACAAATGATGTAATATGATTCTTAAGATGGAGGGAATTTGGATTATTTGGTTAAGCTTCAGCAGAGGATATATTTTATAGGTGACAGAACTGAGTCTTATAAAGATTTACCTACTATTGGTGATTTGGATGTCTTCTCCACCAAAAAATATTAACATATTTTAAAGAATTAAGATATAATCTGATGATAATTATATATTAAAATATAATTAATAGGATCACAGTATTATGATAATAACGACAACCATTTCATTATTTACAAGCAAGTTAAGGTTTATTTCTTCCTTGTCTTTACCTTTTCCATAACTTACTTATTACTGATTAGGTCAGTTATACTGTTTTCTAGTAAAAGTGCAGTAATAAAAACATATATATGACTCTGCTCAAACAATAACTCTAGAGAACCAGAACGTTATTTTATGTATGAGTGTGTCGTATAGTGAGGTAGAAGATATGACGAAGCTTTAACTGTTCATTTGGTAAATATTTTAAAAGCCCAAGAATGACTATTCACTAAAATTATGCGCTTGTCATCTTTCTAACGTATCAGCTCATAAAAGCTTTATTAGCAGTACTACCACTTCTGTATGAAATTGGAAAACATGAAATGCCTCCACATGGGGTGTTTAACTGAAATCTACCATCTTCATCATAAACAGCCACACAGAACCCAGCATTTCATCGCGCAAGCGGGCGGACATCATACAGGCGGCGTGCAGAAGGAGCTGAGGCCCATGAACGGGCGAACGAAGAAGAAGAGAATGCAGGGGGCACAGAGGCCGAGCAGAGCCTAGCAGAGGTTGGCGGTGGGGATTCTGTGAACGAGTATGATAATGACTTGTATGTGTTCATTCCTGGAGACAGTCCAGAACATAATTCACCAGAGCCACTCATGAGCTGCAGACCCCCTCTGCCCCCGCCACGACCTGTGGCTGCTGCCTCCCAACTGGAAACACCGCCCTGCACGTTACAGGGTAAGTTTAAGTTTAAAACAACACCCACAGAAGTTTGACAGGCTTCCATAGCCTATAGTGCAGTGGCAGATCTGTTCCAGGGAAGATCAGCTTTTAAAACCAAGAGCAGCTTTCCTGCTCTTCCTTAACTAAGGCCTAAGAAATCAAGCAAGAGATACCCGCCACTAACTCACCCACAGCCTCCCTCCCTCCCTCCCTCCCTCTCTTCCTTTCTTTCCTCTTCTGTCCCTCCCCTCACCCTCTCTGCCCCTCTTTCCACCCTCTTTCCCTTCCTCCTCCCCTCCCTCCCTCCCTTTCTTTTAGAACAATCTCATTATAAAGCTTTAAGTAAGTAAAGCAATAAAACTTGGAAGGAATTTGTAGTCCTTCACATAAAATGAACCTCAAGCATCATGTGGGAAAGTAAATGACAACTTTCCTTTTAAAAAGTACCCTTAGTTGTCTGGCAAAAAGAAAAGGCTAATGTTTTACAGATTTGAAAAGAACCTTGGGCACTTTCTCTCCACTGGTAGCTGCAGGGGAAGCAAGTGGTAAAGAGTTTATCACACACTACATTGAGACCAAAGTCTAAGAACACTCAATATATTGCTAAAGTGGAAGAACAGTTAAAAGGGCTATGATTACATTTCTTTCCAAATGCAAGAATGACCTGTGTAATGGGGAGGGGGGCATGGGGGAAGGGGAGGTGCAGGTACCGTCAAGAGGAGCTTCCCTGTTGGATTTCTCTGGCTGGAGTGTTCAACAGCCTAACAGACTTCCAGCTCCAGGTTCACTCTACAGTCACTAATTAATCACCCACTTTATTGATCACTATTTTATATCTACTTTCCAAATTCAAAAACTGTTCTTACAATGAAGGTTTAATAAGAAGGGTGAAAGAAGTATCTATTATTAAAACTCCGTTTGTCATGATACTTTTTAGCTGTTGAGGCCTAGAGGGCTATAAAGTATATAAACACTGTTTTAAAAAGGTGAATTTTGAAGCCATGAAATTTAGCATTTGCATCATTGAAGGGCCTGTCTCTATAAAGGTTAAAGTTGATGAACATAAACCTTTACTAAGGTTATACACTGTATTTAGAGATGAAAAGTCCTCCTTAATGGAAAGTATGGAAAACCTCATGGGCACGCCTCTGATTCTTTCACTCATTCAACAAATATTTATTGATTACCTACTATGAGCCGAGCTCTTATAAACCATTGCGATAGATCAGTGAGGTAAGTGTATCGATACTGGGGGTGGGAAGAGAGACATAGATAAGCAGCACATTGACAATAAAATTCTGGTATATTTTCTCACTTTCTACAGACGTGAATAATTTCATATAATTATTAAAATAAATTGTTAAGAAGGCAAAGTTGTCTTTTATCAGGCTAAATCTCTTAAAAGGACTAATAATAAATCATATTTTCCCAAATGTAAATTTTTATACATAGTATATTGGCTAGGAGGTCTAAAACTACTCTATAGAGAGTATTCACCTGATATCTAAAACCAGAAGTATACATTGGCTAATATATCTTCTGAAAAGTACCAAATAGAAAAAGCAAGATAAAACAAAAAATCCCCATTTTTTTATTTTAAAACTGTACTTTTACACTTTCTGTGCAGCGTTACTTTTGATCTCATCTTTCATAAGACTAATATTGGAAGTATTGTAAATGGAAAATAAAATGTCAATATTTTTTCTTAAAATTCTTTAAGATCTTAGTAAAAAGTAAGACTAGAAGCTACCACTTTTTTTTTTCCCCCAGAGATCTGGCATGGGTTCTTTGAATTTAGCTAGTGATACCTTCAGAATTGTATTCTAAGACTAGTTTCATATGCCCTCAAATTATCAAAAAAGTGAGGCCACCTCCTCATGTCCAGAGCCTCAGATTCCCCATGATGGATTTATGGGCATATTCACTGGAGAAAACAAGAATACAAAACACTATAGAACACTTTTTAGTTTATAAAGAACACATTGTCCCTTTTTATCTTCACAACACGTGTGCAAGGCAACAATCACTATGATCCCTCTTTGACTCAGACCCAAGACCACAGAGCCGGTAATTAGAATGTATCAAATACTTCTATAAACAGGCTTCCTTGGCTTTGAAGAGTCTTCTCTTTGCTACACACTCTTCCTCTAGTTTTTTTTTTTTTCAAAAATTAGAATGATAGGAGTGATTTATTTTCAACTTTATTTACTAATGTACAACTTAAATTAAGAATGCTCAGGCCCCACTCTGACATGAAAAGCGGAATCTGATACATTGAGAAATAAAAATGTAAAATGTGTTATTTCTGGTGCAAGCCCAACTTTAGAAAGAGTTGGGAAGGAAGGTGGGTGGAGAAACAAAGGGAGTCAGCAGCTCAGGAAATGGGTTGATAAAAGTAAGATAGTTGACACATTCCGCTAAAAATGAAACACTGTAAAAATGTTTCCCACACACTTAATCTGGTTTCACCTGTTATGCTGTCAGTGAAACAGAAGTCATGAAGTCAAAATCTCAGTACCATATTATTCATAGGGAGAAAGGCAAGTCATGCTGATTTGGAAGTTAGTGCCAGGCATGTAGTCATTAGTACTTCTTGGCTTAAACTAACTGAAACAATCAGATTTAAGACTCCTTTGGGGGCGTCCTCATGAGCCTACCCAGGACAATGGCTGAACTGCTTAAGATAATATATATTTTATTCTGCTCTACAACTTGCCTTTCTCCTTAGCTTCTACATTTTTCCACTAAAATATCCATAAATAACCTAAATATTTTTGGCCAGATCGTCACCAAAGAGGAAGCAGAATAGTTCTCCCTTAAGTCACGTGCGTGAATCTCTCAGAACAACCCACAAAAGTAATGATTTTTCAGTCAGTAACTGAAATTCTTTCCATTTTATTGTTTTCATTAATGCTTTAAGCAAAACATCTGTCAAAAGTCTAATTTTTTCAAGATTTTATTTATTTATTTTGGAGAGAGAGAGAAGGGGTGGGGAGGGGCAGAAGGAGAGGGAAGAGGGTCTCCAGCAGACTCTATGCTGAGTGAGGCGCCTGACAGGGGGGTCGATCCCGAGACCCCGAGATCACGACCTGAGCCGAAAACAAGAGTCAGACACTTAACTGACTGTGCCACTCGGGTGCCCCAAAAGTCTAATTTTTAATAAAATTCTCATTGGTATGGAGCCATCAAAATGTTATCCAACTTATTCATTAACCAAAGTATGCGATACCTTTGTCTTCTAAATAACTGCTACAAAATATTTTAATATATTCTTTAAAAAATATGTAAAGAAGGATGCCTGGGTGTCTCAGTTGGTTGAGCATCTGCCTTGGGCTCGGGTCATGGTCCCGGGGTCCTGGGATCGAGTCCCACATCGGGCTCCTTGCTGGGCGGGGAGCCTGCTTCTCCCTCTGCCTGCCTCTGTCTCTCTCTCTCTGATAAATAAATAAAATCTAAAAAAAAAAAAAGTAAAGATTTTACTGGCTATTAAAACCATGAAAGATTATTCTTTTCATATGAATTAATCTTCAAGTCATTGATTATCCATGCCACCTTGTCACAAACCCTACTTTCAGTGTTCTTTATCTAAAAATGAGGTTCCCGCTGTCTTACAGACATCAAGAGTTGCATTGTGGAACCTCAGTTTGTTAGGCCACAGTGAGACTTCCTGTAAGAAACCAAGTAATGGCATGTTTGGCTAGTCCCCCTGTCATTTTCAGATAAATTGAATGTTAGGCAAAACACCCAGTGCAAGCCCAATGAAAGGTGAAATAACTTCAAGTGAAAAAAAAAAAAAATCTTAGCATATTCTGCTTGAAAAACAACTTTTCCAAAGCGTTTGGGATTTGAGGCTTAGTTTTATCACTCGATTTTCTGATATTAAATCCCTTATAAATTATCTGGAAAATACTTATATGCCTATTTATATGTTTTCAGAGAAGTCCATGTTTTAAACAAACCTTTCTTTTTTCTTTAAGATTATATTTTTAAGTAAACTCTACTCCCAAAGTGGGGCTCAGATTTACAGCCCTGAGATGAAGAGTTGCATGCTCTTATGGCTGAGTCAGCCAGGCGCCCAAACTGTTGTTGTTGTTTTTTAAGATTTTTTATTTTTTATTTGACAGAGAGAGAGCACAAGCAGGGTGAGCGGCAGGCAGAGGGAGAGGGAGAAGCAGGCTTCCCGCTGAGCAGGGAGCCCGATTTGGGCCTCGATCCCAGGACCCTGGGACCATGACCCGAGCCAAAGGCAGACACTTAGCCATCTGAGCCACCCAGGCGCCCCCGAACTTTTTTCTTTAAACAAAGTTAACAATTACAAACTGCAGGAAAATATGTTAGTAAATTATATAGTGTACTTTTCTTTTTGAAATTTATGAGACTATATATAAATTATTTGGGGAGAGTTTCAAGGAAGTGACAGATGGACATCAACAATATTGCATAAAATAGAAGAGTAAGCACAATCTAAATATTTCATAAGCAGGAAAAATGGTGGAAGGCCAGACGGAAAGAAGTCAAAATTGGCGTGATCTCGGAGCAAGACAAGAAACAGGAGGTGACCCCAAAGAAGAAGAAAAGAAAGAAGATGAAAAGGAGCAGGGGAAGGAGGAAGACCCGTACACGTTTGTTGAGACTGAAGACAGTGACTATGACGTGATACTGGCCAATATGAGTACAAAGAAAAAATTGGGGAGTCGGTCTTTTATTATAAACAGACCTCCTGCCCCTACACCTCGACCCACAAATATCCCTCCAAAAGAGGAAACCACACCTTACATAGCTCAAGGTAATGCTTTTTGGTGTGTGTGCGTGTGTGTGTGTGTCAGTGTTTTGGGGGTGGGAGGAATTGTCCTCTTTTTAGTGGAGTCAAAAACCCCAAATATGAAAAATCCAAGTCATAAGTGAGTTGTATTGGCCCATTTTTAAATTTAGAAACACAATGAATAAAGAAAATAAGAACAATGGGTAGGGTCTGGTTTCTAATTCTTCATTAAAGAAGGATAATTTTGACAAATTATCCAAAGAACATGAAACCACAGCTTGTGTGGAGAAATTCTATTTGAAACTTTTTCTATAATTCTCTAAGAGGGAAGCTCAACTCCTATGAACAATTTGCAACACAAGATAAGAGGTAAATACTTTACTTTTGCCCCAATTTTACTTTTTGCTCTTAATTCCACTTAAAATAACTTTAAAAACCTAAAAAGTTGTGAAAACTAGAATCTCAGATACACAACCACAATTACTCTGAGAATTGCACTTCACCCCAACAATTAAGATTCACTTCATCTGTCATAGAATTTCTACTTCATTTTACACTTCAATTCTTCTTTCTCATTTTCTACTCAGTTGAATCTGAATAAAAAAACTAACAGATCTCGGAGCTTTTTTTTATATCTATAGCCCCAGCAGAGTATATTTACACTACTATTATTTTCTGGCACTCTTGTATACTCTGTTTGGTTTGATGTAGTTCCACAAGTCCATTGTGTCTGAGAAATGGACTTTTATTTATCAGTGCATTGCATGCATTTTGGGGCTAAAATACCATCCTAGGGACTGAGGAAATGGGATAAAACAATTTCTTCATCCTTGAGGAGTTCCTAGGTGATAGATATGCAAATAAATACCCAGAGTACAATGTGACACTTTATTACAGATTTTTTGAACAAAATGTTTGGGGGATAACTAAACTGAGAAGCAATCGATTATACATTCAAACAATTTAAACCAAGTACTCGAACAGAACATTTAAGTGTATACCACGAACCTACCCAAAAGAAGCACATTTACTCATCTGTGCTTAATATGTTCAAAAGAAACCATTCTATTGCTTAAGCATTATGTTTTGAGAAATTTGTATAAGAAAATTTAGCGAGTATATATAATTTCCAGTGTACAATATATTATTCAACAGTGTTCTACTGCTGATAATGTTCAAGAAACTATTAAAAATTAGAAAACAATAACAAATTAATAAATGTGTCAGCTAAAATAAAATGTCAACTGGAACAATTATCTAGATTATTAAGGCAGGGATTAGCTGTAATTAGAAATTCTTAGATTGTCTAGCATAGTGATATCTAGGATATTACTAGCTCTTAGACAAGGATACTACCTCCCAATAAGTATTTTTTAAAGAGAGAAGATAGAAACAGCTCAACACAAGAATTTAGTTGTATTCAAGAAATTTCTGAAGTGGTACTTCATCCTCTGTACCTCAATCCTTGGGGAGTTCTCAGGACCACAAGTAGAGACTCCCATGTTGCGGTGTTCTGTTTTTTGCATTTTATTTTCTCATCCTTCTGTGGGCTGTCATATTCTTATTTTCCATGAGCTCTTTCTTGTTCTCTATTTGTTCTTTTTTTTTTTTGGATTTTATTTATTTATTTGACAGAGAGAGAGAGTACAAGCAGGGGGAGTGGCAGGCAGAGGGAGAGGGAGAAGCAGGTTCCCCAAGGGGGCAGGGAGCCCGATGCGGGACTTGATCCCAGGACCCTGGGATCATGACCTGAGCCGAAGGCAGACGCCACCCAGGCGCCCTCTAAGAAATTTTAAAAGCTATTTATCTCCCCTACTCATCGCAAGTTTGACACCCTTCAGCATTTATAAGAAATCTTTCTAATTCAATTACACAATGTGATTTATTCTCCTTTCCATTATTTATTCCTTTCCTCTTTCACTGGAATTTAGTTGCTTTCCTCTCCCTTTTGTGCTATTGATTGTTGATCATTCTCTTCCCACATTAAGAAAACATTGCCTCATCAGCTAATTCTTTCTTGATGTTCTTTGCATTTCACAGGATAAAAGTCTTTCATCACATCTTTCCTCTTTTTTTTTTCTCTTTTTCATAACTCAGGCAGCTCTATTAAATAAAATTGCCATCATTTCCCAGAAAGCCATCCATTCAATTAAAAGAACACTAATTTGCCCCAATCCTTGCCAGAGCACAGAGGTAGTAGCAGAATGTTGGCACATCCAGAGTATGTTAATGTAGCCAAAAGAGAAGGATGTAGAATAGGAGATGGAAGAAGAAAGCAAGATGCAGAATCCCAACTTACTATTTCAGAAATTCAAGAAAGTACTGGCAAGGAAACTAGGCAAATAAATCGGAGAGATACAGGAAAATCATGTTGGCTTTTGCGAGATCATAGAAAACATGTCTATTGGTGTCTACCTCTAGTTCCTGGCACAGAGCTCCTGAAACCCTTGTGATTTCCTGGATGACAGGAGAGTTTTTTGCTCTAATGAGGCAACTCTGAATGGGCTCCTGAATGGCTGGATGACGGCTAGTCATCAAATACACCAAGCCATGATTAGAAGCCTAGAATCTTCAGCCCTAGCCCCCCATTTTCTTGAGAAGGGAGAAGGGCTGAACATGTACTTATTGACCAATAGTGCCTATGTGAGGAAGATTCCATAAATCCTAATAGTAGGGGATTCCCAGAGATTCCATGTTGGCAAACAAATCCACACAGGAAGGCTGATACACCCCAACCCAGTGGGGGTAGAAGCTCCTGCACTCAGGACCCTGAGTATTGCACTCTGGATATTTATTTGCATATCTATCACCTAGGAACTCCCAGACCTTGTGCTATGTATCTTTTCATCTAGCTGTTCATCAGTATCCTTTATCATATCATTTAATACACTGGCATTTGTAAGTGTTTTCCTGAGTTTTGTGAGCCACTCTAGCAAATTAATTGAACCTGAAGAGGGAGTCATGGGAATCTCCAATTTGTAGCCAAATTAGACAGAAGCTGTGGATAGGCTGGGAATCTACTACTTGTGATTGGCATCTGACGTAGAGTGGAAGCAACCCTGTAGGACTAAGCCCTAAGCCCTAAGTGTCAGAATTGAGCTAAACCGTGGGACACTCAACTGGTGTCCTAGAATTTCTTGATGGAGGGAAAACTCCGCACATTTGGTGACCATAAGTGACTGAAGTGGAGTGTCGTGAGTGCGGTAGAGGTGTGAAAGTGAAAGAGACACACATAAAAGAAAGACTGGAGGAAAACTGGGTTTCCCCGTTACAGCTTTGCAGAAAGTATTCAGATTCAGCTGCTATTACCTAAGCAAATAACTTCATATATCTGAGATTCCATTTCCTCTTTGTAAGTTTAGGATAAAAATAGTATCTACTTTAAGGATTGCTGTAATCTTTAAGTGAGATAAAATTAGACATTACCCAGCACAATATTTGGTATGTGGTATACGCTCAACAGATTATAATTAATAGCGATTCTATTTTGTCTTTCCTCAGTTTCTGGGCAGACAGTGACTTTGGGAAACTAACTTTATAGGAAAAATGTGTGCTTCCTAGATTCTGGTGGCATCCGAGGCTAAGGAAGTTATTAGAGATGGAGAAGGAGGAGGGGGGATCCTGCCCTCTAAAGGGACAAGTCTACTTCGTCTACTCCTGATAACAATTGTCGTGAGACAACTTTCATGCTTATTTCTAATTCATGCAATAATCTTACGTGGTTGGCATTTATAGCCTCATTTCGCAGATGATGAACCTGATGTTCAGTGAGTTTCAGTGTCTTGCCCATGGTGATAAAATTAGGAACAGGAAGATAGAGAATTTGGACCTACATCAGTCTGGTTCTCGCCACAAATTTCCTTTGTTGATATATTTATTTCTGGATTATTTGTTAATATTTATTTCCTCCTCTGACCTGTAAGATCTGTGGAGGGAGAGACCAGCCTTCTCTGGTTTTGCCCATCATTGTATCTTTTGGTACCAAGCTTGGTGCTGAATTCATAGTAGAAACTATGAATGTTTGAGGAATAGTAATTGAATGAATACGAAGATGAAAAAATGATAAAAGTGACAAAAACCACATCGATGTGGTTCATTAGGATACTTTATTAACACTCTGGAGGATGGTCAGAATAATATATCAATCTACTAGTTCCTAAATTTCTCTTGTTTTAAACCATCTTATGGGTTTTTTTTTTTATTTTTTTATTTGAGTATAGTTGACACACAATGTCACATTAGTTTCAGGTGTACAACACAGTGATTCATCTTCTTTATACCATACGCTGTGCTCACCACGAGTGTAGCTACCATCTGTCACCGCACGCTATTACAGTACCATTGACCATATCCCCTATGCTGTACCTTTTCTCTCCATGACTTATTCATTCCATAAATGGAAGCCTGAACCTCCCACTCCCCTTCACCCATTTTACACCCCCACCCCCCCACACACACCCTCCCCTCTGGCAACCGTCAGTTTGTTCTCTGTATTTACAGGTCTGATTCTTTTTGTTTGTTTATTCATCTATTTTATTTTTTAGGTTCCACATATGAGTGAAATCATACGGTATTTGTCTTGACAGTTAAACCATCCTACGTTTGAAGTACAACTAATGTGAAAAGGGGAGGTCACACAAAATGGGACAAAGTTCCAGGATACTGACATACAGCTAAGCATTCTAATCCCTTTCACACAGCATAACATAATAGAGAGAGGCTCTATTTCGACTGTCGCCCCTAGAAATGTAACTTATTAATGCAAAACTAAACCCATGGTTTTTTATTAAGAGAGATGTTTCTGATTTTTTATTCCATTCCTGTCATACTAAACCTAATTTTGGTGAACAACAACAAAAGAATAATTTATTTTTCTTAAATGAAAAGTCTTTGAAGTCTGTGTGCTTTCAGATGTTGCGTTCTCTCCACCTTTTTCTCCCTATAATATGGCAGAGGATCAGGTTCATTAAGTTTCAAGAGTATGGAGGAATTAGTATGGATTTACAGTCCTCCTTAATGACAGA